CCCCCCCCCCCCCCCCCCCTCCACAACAGGAGAATTGATGAGCTGGAAGAGGAGGGGCGAGGCCTCCGACCACGCCTTAGCGTCTACGACACAATGTTCCGAAAAACAACAGCAGACATATCTTCGGCGATGGCCGTTGTGGTTGCCAAGCGGAATGCTTTGAGGAGGACCGAGAAAACTGTCGTCGGTTTGGCGTCGAAATTGCGGAAGCTGGCGGAGATCGCCAGAGACGAAGAGGCGTTGAGGGCGGTTGTTCCTGCTGGAAGTGACCGGTGAGTCCGTTACCCTCGATTGTCCGATACGATGCCTACCGTGGGACTCGTTGTGATTACAATGACCTTGCGTTTAGTCCACTCCGTTGCACAGTTTCTGCCAGGGCTGACCAACAGCGCCGCAGAACCATGACATGCATATTTGGCGAAATGGCGCGGAAAGTATCTGCACGACCAACAGGATCTTCGACATCTTCCAGTATGCGTGAAGTGGGCCATTTTTTTTCCCATGGGGGGACAATACTAGAGCCTTCCGTGGCCCATTACCTCAAATGAATCACTTGCGCATTGGGGTGCACATTATTAACGTCTTCAGTGGGCTTGGTCAGCTCCAGGGGTGATTTCCACGGTAGTCTAGAGCATCAAGCGCTGATGCGGCCGCCTTCTTACCCCCTCCCCCCGCGACCTTCTTTGTAGGTCTTTGGTATACGGTCACGTACGTGGTGGATTGAACGAACAAGACGGGAAGGATGTCTCGCGTAACTGTTCGGAATTGAGTAACCTGAGCGTTCATACTGCGCACGATGCAGGCGAGACCTGGACCTTCAAGTTGCGGAGGCTGTGCGTGTAATATCGGAGGCAGCACGGGAGGTAGAACAAACGAAGTTACGGCGCGATGAGGCGGCGGTGGCATTGGAAAAGGCGCGGCTGAACCTTTGCAGGTATGTGGGGTGTAGCCCGGAGGGCGAGATTTCCTCTCGGCTTGTGGCCGTCGCTTCATGGTCAACCAACAAATAGTTGCAAACACGTCAACATACGACCCCGTGCACTGCGACACTCCCTTACTCAGAGACAGAACTCAACGAAACAGCTACGAACCACTCTTCGTTTCATCACACATGGGCTGCCACACCTCATGTAGCGGAGACGACATGGGTCATGGTCTCGTGCTCCTTGGGAGTAATGAAGCGGCAACAAGGGCGCGAACAGCTCCTTCCGTAAGGTCGACAGCTGACAACACTAGGCTACACGGCAAGCTGTCTTCTGATGACCTGTCGTCGTCGAACGAAGGAATGCCAGCCGTTATTTTGGGTGCGCCCGGGCTCAGGGGCGGTGCTTGCAAGGACGGGTCTGGTGTGCACATCCCCAACGTCACTGACGATGGTGGCATCTACGCCACCTATGGAGACGCCAAGAGTGGGGATGGGAGGCAGGAGCAGCACGCACGACCAGCGTCTGCGGAAAGAGGGAAGACGCAATCATGGCGGAAGGGGGGAGGGGCAGCGATAGACGGAGTGATTCCGTTGCACACAGGTGAGGCAGAGTGCGTTTGAGAAGTCAGAGGGTTGGACGGAAGTATTACATAGGCACACACTACAAGATACGGAAACTGCCAAACAAGAAAGCTTGAAAGCGTTGACTTAGTCAAAGCAACGGGCTGTGGACATATAGATGAAACGGCCTCATTCATAAACATGAAAACCAAACCTGACCAACGGTGAACAGTTTTCATTGAGAAGGCGGTGCCTCAGTACGATGGAGACGTAAGAGTCGTCTGCATCAGTTGGCACACCGAATTTCCGCTGGCTCCACGCACGAATGCCATCAACCCAAAAAAAGTCGCGCCCACCCCTCACCATCACCCCATTGCGTTCCAAAGCCACCACGACTAAAGAAGATGGCCCCGAACGCCCGTCCGAGTAACCTTTCCAGACGAAGCCATGGTGGCGGCAGACCCAGCATTTGAGGCTACCGGAGATAGAACTCCAAACGATAAAACCAGCACGAACGCCCTCGTGCACACAACATCGCCGGAAGCAGAGGTGAGGCACATTTTGTCGGAAGGGTAACGTTACCAAAGGTTTTCCCACGAAAATCGCTGACGTCCTCTTGCGTGAATGGTTGAATCGTCGAACGTTATTTTTCTAAGTCTCGGCGATGTGAAATGCTGCTCGTGTTGTTGTACGGTAGCAGTTTTCGTTGGTGCGATACTTCGAACGCGTTCGTCTCTTCAGTCAGGGTTGAGGTTCAGTTTCAGAGTCAAAGGTAAAAAGCGCCCACAACAAAAGCAGCGACAGAGTTGATGGAAGAGACATATCGGGTGTAGTCAATCGCCCGTTTTCCCGTCCTGCGACATTTCCGCCCGTTTCCACGCCTGCTGCTTTCACCGAGAAGGAGGTGCAGCGTCTGAACGGAGCGTACTCCGAGGCTAATCAGAAACACCTGAACGCTGTGGTAAGCGATGCTCCACGTTGAATTCAGAACTCATTCGTCTGTGGTACACAAGAAGAGCAAAACAGGGCTCATCTCCAAGTTGCCGGTCTTGGTTGCCCTGTCATACGGTTTCGTCGGGTGGGAGTACATCGAAGGTTCAGGTTTTCCATGGTATTGAACGGACTCTATAGACCAACCCGAAATCATGTTCTTTTTCTGTCAGGCCCGTAGTGGAAATCATGATCGTAACTCGGATATATTTTGGTAAACGTGTTGCGATGCGGCTAGAGTGTCCTCCCTTCTCGCTTCAACTGCGTATCTTCTAGTAACGATTTTCGTTCAGCACTCTTGTGCCTCCCTTCTCTCTCGCATACCTCCCCTCCCGTTTGGCAAAATACGCCAGGCTCGTCGGGAGAGCCCCCACGTGAAGCGTGCACTAGCACTTATCCGAGACCATGGCGACATCATTCGATTGAAGAAAAAGAACACGCCCGAAGGTATGATCGGACGCCACAAGAATTTATTTTCTCACGTTCGGTCCGGCAATCCTCATGTCCATGGATGGCGGCAGTCTCTAGAACAGTGACCCCCGCATCCATACACGACCGGATCGGAGCACGTCGGGATAACTCGACCTATCGGCGTTGGCCGGGCTTTGCTCGTTTGAGACGGTGGCACACAGGTACGTGCGCGTACATCACTATTTCGTGGGTAGGCTGTCTCTCGTGATCTCATAGAATGGTTCCTCAAGCAAAGGCAGCGTACCGATTTCGAAAGAGCTCTTTCGACCGTTAGAGATCAATCACACTGATCTCATCCGCTGAATCAAACATGCCGGAAGCAGAAAACACTGTGCCTTCACCGGCATAGGTTGCAATGGACGCGGATCTCTCGCAACAATCTAACACGACAACGCGCGCACGGCGAGACAAGCAACACAAGGGGTTGACGATTAGGCTCCACCGAAACACCCGGTGTTAGACTTCCCTCACGTGCCTCGAATTACTCCTTTCGGTGGGCACCACAAGGCCAACAGCACCCAACCCTCTCCGCGAGACTTTCCGTCAACTGCTCTTGCCTCACCTACCTCTGTCTAGCAGATATCCATCGCGACAAGCTAGTGCAGGGGCGACCAAGATCGAAGCGTCGGCCACGGGGAGAGACGCCTCTGCTCGGTGTGCAGCTGAATGGCGAGATTGCGCTTGGGGCTGAAATCGCAATGCTGCGGGTACGATTTCGATCGAAGTTTGCGCTGTTCAAGACAAGGCCGACTGTGCGGTAGCATCACTTTTGGTTATGACGAAACGTTCACCATACTCTGATTGTTCATCACTGCCAGCAAAATTCATCTCACAACAGCTTACCAGACGAACACATCCGGCTCGGGCAACAAACCTTAGGCCTTCTTCCGCTACGTATGGGACATTCCGAGTTCGACATGGCACTCAAGGTACGAAGGGTTACCGCATCCGGACGAAAACCCAGACTCCAGCCCAGGCTGTGGGACCCCCCCCCCCCCCCCCCCCCCCCCCCCCCCCCCCCCCCCCC